TGGGAAAGCAGATAATAATAAAACCTGGCAATGGCTAAGAGCAGGAAAATTGAAGAAAGAGACCGAGGGACTAATTCTGGCTGCACAAGACCAAGCCTTAAGGACAAATGCATACAAAGTTAAAATTGAGAAGACAGCAACAGACAGTAAGTGCCGCTTATGCAAAGAAGCTGAAGAAACAGTGGACCACTTGGTAAGCTGTTGCAAGAAGATTGCACAGACTGATTACAAGCAGCAGCATGACGAAGTAGCAACAATGGTGCATTGGAAGATCTGCAAAAAATATCATTTGCCTGTAAGCAAAAACTTGTGGGATCATAAAATAGAGAAAGTCATAGAAAATGATAAAATTAAACTGCTCTGGGGCTTCAGAATTCAAACAGACAAGCACCTGCAACATAACACCCCAGACTTAACAATTGTCGATAAGAAAGACAAAAAGTCTGGATAGTGGACGTGGCAGTGCCTGGAGACAGCAGAATAGACGAGAAAGAACTGGAGAAGATAACAAAATACAAAGACCTACAAATAGAAATAGAAAGACTGGCAAAAACAAGCAAGGGTAGTACCAATAGTAATAGGCTCCTTGGGTGCAATTCCAAAACAACTGGAGCACCACTTGAACACCATTGGCATTGACAAATTCGCTATTAGGGAATTGCAAAAGGCGGCCTTAATAGGAACTGCTTCCATCCTGCGACAATATCTGTAATACCATCAAACATCCACATCTGCCTATCCCAGGTCCTGGGTAAGGACTCGATAAGTAGACAAAATGCCAAATCCAGTCTGAACATCTGGCCGACTGTGCGATGATCCATAATAATAATAAAATTGCAAGGGACCTTAGAGGTCATCTAGTCCAACCCCCTGCTCAGGCAGGTAACCCTATACCATTTCAGACAAATGGCTGTCCAGTCTCTTCTTAAAACTTCCAGTGTTGGAGCATTCACCACTTCTGGAGGCAGGTTGTTCCACTGGTTAATTGTTCTAACTGTCAGGAAGTTTCTCCTTAGTTCTAGGTTGCTTCTCTCCTTGATTAGTTTCCACCCGTTGCTTCTTGTCCTGCCTTCAGGTGCCTTGGAAAATAGCTTGACTCCCTCTCCTTTGTGGCAGCCCCTGAGATATTGCAATACTGTTATCATGTCCCCCCTCGTCTTTCTCTTTATTAAACTAGACATACCCAATTCCAGCAGCCTTTTCTTATATGCTTTGGCCTCCAGTCCCCTAATCATCTTTGTTGCTCTTCTCTGTACTCTTTCTAGAGTCTCAACATCTTTTTTACATTGTGGTGACCCAAACTGGATGCAGTATTCCAAGTGTGGCCATTGTAAAGTGGTATTAATACTTCACGTGATCTTGATTCTATCCCTCTGTAAATGCAGCCCAGCACTGTGTTGGCCTTTTTGGCAGCTGTAGCACACTGCTGGCTCATATTTAAGTGATTTTCCACTAGGATCACTATTTCACTATTTCTGCCAAGGCAGAAGGAAAGGATTTTCAGTTGGCTGAAATTTAGGGTAGATCTTTGGGCATAGCTGGAGGCTGACTTAAACCGAGAAACTCTTAAACAGGATGAGATGATTCCCTCTGATGGAAAAAGTTTCCCTCCCACAAATTCTGCAAAGCTTTGGAATTGTAAATAGAAATTCTCTCTCTCTCTCTCTCTCTCTCTCTCTCTCTCTCTCTCTCTCTCTCTCTCTCTCTCTCTCTCCATGCACACACATTTATGTCTTTGAGAAAGAGACACAGAGAGAAAAAGTGAGTAAACTTTGGATGTATCATAGCTGAGTCAGAAATAAAAACAGATGATGATCTGGGATTCCACAGGTGCAGAGCTGATATTAAAGCCATGGGAGATCTACACTGAGGTTTTAAAATTAACATTGGGGAAGGGATTACATTTTAGAGTTAGGATTAGGGTGAAAACCCTGAGACATAGTATGTAAAAAGACATTCTTGGATTAAAATGAAATTTTCAGTTGGCTGAAATTTAGGGTAGATCTTTGGGCAGAGATGGAAACTGAGTGAAAGGGCACAAAGCAAGAAAACGTAGGAGGTGGGAATATTTCTGATAAGAATACAGTCTGTTCAATTAGAGACTGTCAAATAAAGTAATTTACTATCATGAGACATATAATTCACTTTAGACACTTCAAACCAAATTCTAATTTCTGATGCATGTCAGCATTCCTGAGAGTGGGAATCTAATGCAAGCAAGGATGAGCAAAAGGAGATTTATTTACAGAAAATACATTATGTGAATAGGCAAAGACAGTGCCTTCATATTAGCAGTCCCTTAGATAAAGAACAGGCAGCGTAACCAAGAGGGGATTTAGTGAGTAAATCCTTAACTCTTTATCTACATCCTACTATCCTCTTGTGGCCAGCAGATCATGATGTGCAGAAGAGCCAATGTCTCTGGATTTGGACTTCCAACACATGAGTGGTTGAAAGAAAATTGTGATTTTAAATGAAACTTCTGGAGTTAAATCTTTCTAGATAATAGCACAGTCATAACAAAAACCCACATACTTCGCTTTCTGATTGCAAAATAGAATCAGATTTCAGTAAAGAATTTTCCATGCCTTCATTGCTCCCTGATCCTCTGGGGAAAAAATTGTAAATAAAGATATGCTATCATTTAGTCAATCTGCATTATATAGAGAGTGCCCTGACATAATGCACATTTTGCAATTTTAAGGACTCCTTGAACAAATGAGAATCAGCTCTAGATTTGTGTCTTCACACCATTACCTCTTTTTAATATTGGATAGTATCCTTGTCATATTTTGCTTTCAGTCATTTCAACTGAGACAATACATACTATATTTGTGTTGTAATACAGTTTTAAATGCAGCCAGAATTTATTATTGATCATTTGAAGATCTTTGCAATTGTTTCTGCAGTAGACCAGGGGAAGGCTGTCATATGAAATAATTTGTTTGTTTTATGCTTGTTTTTGAATGATGGCCTTGTGCATGGGAGAATTGGAACTAGTAATCTCTTCTCTTTTTGTCTTCAGTAAAATGGTATTAAGGACTTTTTTAATTATCCCCAATTCCAACTATTTTTAATATTTTTTCATATTTTCATGAAACCATACTTATTACGATGTACAGTACTTCTCCTTCATCTTATCGCCAACCATTGCACCAGAGTGAAGAAGATGTCCCACTGAGAAATGGACAAAATGCTACCTTTTCACAATCACAGCTAGCTACAAGTTTTAAATGCATCAGACAAGACAAATGCATGCAGTATATTTTATCAATAGGAAAAAGGGGAGGGGCCCTGTTCCTTTACTTCTTTTTTTTTCACATGGATTGAATTCATATGAAATATTTTTGCACACTCATGTCTATGTATGTATCTATCTGTGTATACACACCACAGATATATACTGTGTACCATAAATGAATCAAGTCATGAAGCAACTTGAGCAATACATTTATGGCAACACCAGATTAATTCTGAAATATATTTTTATTTGTTGGATAAGCATGCATTCAAAATTGAGAAACATACACATATACAACACCAAAATGGGCATCTATAGCATGGGTGTCAAACTTGCCCCATCACATGACGTGTCGCAATGTATCGCAACTTTTTTTGCATTGCCGGAGCTGGGTTGGGCGTGGCCTCCGCACAATGCAACCAGCCCATGGGCCGGCAGTTCGACACCCCTGATCTATAGTATTTTGACCAGTGGAGAAATATTGCAATCAGTGGAGGAATCATTTCAGGAGTAGAAGAGAGTTGGCTAGTTACTTTGAAAATAATTCAAAAGTGCCTAGACCTCGCATAAGTATAACATTCATCTACTATTCATTAAAGTAGATTGACATTCTTCAAGTTTCCACATACTGAAATCTGAAAAAGTACATTGCTGTTTCAACAGCCCCATTATCTTTAACTAGTTGACTCTTTAAAGCAGACATGTCAAACTCACGACTTCACATGATGTTGCGCAACGTATGGGGACGGTTTTGCCATTGCTGGCAATGGGGTGGGTGCGGCTTTCGGATGACGCATCTGGCCTGAGGGCTGGCAGTTTGACACCCCTGCTTTAAAGCATCTTCAACGTTTTTCAGATTTCCAGGTAATCCTGAAAAAGGCAGGCTATTTTAATACATACAGACAGGCAGTGGGTTACCTGAGAGCTAAATATTTTTTTTTTCAAAATTATTTCTGAAACATACAGTTGTAGAAAAGAATCCTGAGCAAGGTTTGAATTTGTCAATAATCCCACATCATGTAGAAATGAGGGATAATCCTCATTCGGATGAACTCCATCCATCGGTGAAGTTATAGCTATCGCATATGACTAGATGCACATTTTCAAAATTGGGTTCTCCTAAATTTTGAATAACCAAAAGTGAGTACAGAATACACTAAGCCCCACAACAAAATGTGATAATGCCAAATGATGACACATGCAACATAATTACATCAATGCCTCACTGATGTATTTGGCCAGAAGTAAGTCATGGCACTTAACTGATTGTGTCACTTTGAATGCATTGTCCTTTGTCCTCTTTGCCATTCCTCTTGGAAGTCCATGTGTGAATGGCAAATACTATAATAAATTATTTGTTGAAGCTCTCAAAAATTACCTGGTTACTGCTAAACAGAAATAGGCATGTGACAGTTGTATTTTGAATTTCAGCTCCCCTCTCCCCCCCCCCAGCTTCCCACAAGCATCAGCAACATGGCCAGTGAAAGCAACTATGAGAATTGTAGTCCAAACCATCAGGATGACATCAAATTGTTTACCTGTTCTGTAAAGAAGAGAATTCCAATTTAGATAATATAGACAATTTACTTATGCTAATATTATGTAGTTAAATATATTCTTAACTCTCTAATATCCTCTATTTCCTGGTTGCTTGTTACAAGTTGTTGTTGTTGTTGTTGTTGTTGTTGTTGTTGTTGTTGTTGTTGTTGTTATTATTATTATTATTATTATTATTATTATTATTATTATTATTCTTTAGAATCTTCCAACTCCACCTCAAGAAGAAAAGAAAAAGACTCTCCCAGGAGCCAAGAAGTTACCAGGCCCAGCAGTTAATCTTTCAGAAATCCAGAATGTAAAGAGTGAATTGAAATTTGTTCCAAGATTTGAACAGTAAAAGAAATGAAATCGTATGTAGAATATATGATTCCTACCACTCCCTGTGTGCTGAACCGAAGGAAAATTACTTACATGCATAGGACTGCTTCCGAAGATGAATGAGAAACTGAAACCCCATATTTATTCCTCTACAATATAAATAATATGTCTGCGTGGATTAACTAAAGCTATCTCAGGAGGTTATATACTTCATTAAAACCAATGTTTTCATTTTCAAAATAAACTTTGACATAAGCAGTATGAGTTGCAAAGAAACAGTATGAGAGGTGAGGTTCAGTTCTGACAATGTGCATCTGGTGTGCTTACCAATATGATCCTACTTGTAATGTAATTTTCAAATTAAAATAGTCTGTTCTCTTTCTCCCACTTCAAGTTAGGCATTTATTTATTCAAATAATGAAAATAATATGATCTCACTTTAAAAACAAGAATAGTGTGTTTTTGGCTGTGGTCAGCAGGTGATTGTCTAGGGCTAGGTGATGCAAGCTTAAATTCACAAACCTTACTGAGTGATCTTGGGATAGTAACTGTATCTTAAGGAACTTGTTAAAGGACTAGGTGCATATCTATAAGTCAAACAGTACAAATCTGTGGTTTTTTTTTTAATAAGTAAACTGTTAACACTGCATTTTGACTTATAATATTTCTGATCCTAACTGGGTGGCTTATCATTCTTATCAGGAGGACACTATGGATGTCTTTTTGCTCAATCACTGTGCCTCATTTTTTATTTTGATTTGAAATATTGGATGAAAATATCTGGTGAAATAAAAGAAAACCCAATTTCCTATCAGAGCCCAATATGGTCAGTCAGGACCTGATTCTTTGAATCTGAACAGGCAACTGCCTTATTCTTCTGTGGTAGCTGTTTTGTTTCCAGGTGCTGTCTACAAATCCTGCAGTTCACATTTCATAAAATATTCATAAAAGCTAGATATATTATATGTATGGAATGTCCATTCCTGAATGTCATTATAACCAATTATAATTTCTTAATGTATATGTCCACATCCTCCTTCACTATTTTTACAAGTTATGTCAGAGGTTTAATTTAATTCCTCAGCAGGACATTACATTATGAAATGAGGTATATCTAGCAAATTTTTTTAAAATATTATTTTTATGGTTGTGAGTTAAAGTAAGCATGAAGAGATTTTTCCTCAGTTCATTGAACTAACTTAAATTTGCCTCACAATACACGAGTTCTCTTTTCTCATTCGGGCTGGCATCCCTTTCTTTGCACAGCAACATAGTTGAGCTATTCATCATAGGAGCTGTTTCTGTGGAAAGTTGATTTCAAATGCCTTAGAGATGGCAAAGCAGAGCTTTGATATTGACTCCTGCCAAGTCATTGCATCAGAGGCCAGTAATGTACAGACCCCTATTGCTTGAATTAATGGATCAGATTTTTTCATTTATTTATAAGAAATTGAAGGGGGGAAAGAACAATGTTCAGGAAAGGGCAAGGAGAATATAATTACTAGAGAGTGCTGACTGAGAATATTATACAACACTACTAATTATCTGTGGATGGGCTTTGTGAGAGGTAATTGAGCCACAAAATTGTGCTCAATGTATTAAGGCAACAGGTGCTGTTGAGAAAGTATAATAATATATAATGCCAATAATTAATCTTACAAAGTGCACATGCTTTTCAGTACAGGGAAAATACCTCCACTAAAGTTTAATTGTCCCCAAAGTCCAGAAGGATAATTCTTCCCCCTATTAATATCTGAGTTTTAGCAGCCTAAATTGTCGCCCATTAAACTGACAAAAGTTATCTCAGATATTGCTTTAATTTAGTAATTGGACTAATTTTTTTAATACTACATATCTAATCACTCTCTCTTGTAATTTTTTCTGTGGGTTACTTCCTATGAGGCCACTTAATACTGCTTGTACTGATCAGTATTCACAATAAATGAATGCATTACCTTTAACCTTTAAGAAAGTAGCTGTATACTTTGCCATATTTCCACTTATAATGAAATGTGTTCATTAAATATCAGCCAAGCCTCCATTTCTTTATGGATAATAGGAACCAGCTTCCCTATCATTTATTGTATTTAGAATTGCAGAATTCATTGGACAGATACCCAAATTAATGTGCCTAAGGCTGTAGTCCTATTTTTATTTAAAAAGTAAATATTATTTCACTTAACAGTAGTGAAAACAGAACATTGGCAGATATACAGCTTCAGAGATGCAGGTCCTCTAAGAACTTAGAAAAATCCATTAGGTTGTACAGGAAAAGTGACTACCCCGTAAATGCCGGTGTATAAGGCGACTTCCGCGAGCGCTGAAATCGGCGCCAAAGACGGGGGTCATCTTATACGCCGAGTCGTCTTATACGCCGGAAATACTGGTAGTTTCCGGCGTATAATACGACGTTCTAGGAATGCGGCCCAGCTATAAAGACGGGGGTCGTCTTATATGCCGGGTCGCCTTGTACGCCGGCATATACGGTATTTAAAATAATCAAACACCAATGTAAATAGCATTTTTTTTAACCAGTTCCTCCCATAACATTCATTTCTGGAATAAAAATGCATATCTTTGCTCACGGATTATGTAAAGATTGAAGGAGAAAAATAAAACAAAAATGACAATTTTCTAATATCCATAGAGTAAATACTTTTAATAGCAATATCAATAGCACTTAGACTTATATACCGCTCCATAGTGCTTTATAGCACTCTCTGAGTGGTTTACAATGTCAGCATATTTGCCCCCAACAATCTGGATCCTCACTTTGCCAACCTCAAAAGGATGGAAGGCTGAGTCAACATTGAGCTGATCAGGATCAAATTCCTGGCAGTTGGCAGAGTTAGCCTGCAATACTGTATTCAAACCACTGCACCACCATGGCTCTTGTAATAAGTACTACTTTTGTATAATTTCACTTAATACCTAGCAATTTATTCAAAATAATTTTGATAATTTACTTTGACGGGGAAAGAACATTGAAGTGTTTTAAAGAAGTACTTTAAAATTGAAGGAGCACATACCGTACAATCCCACCACCACCACTTTAAAAAAAATCATTAAAGCAGAGACATATACTTGCAAGGCTTACAAAACAGCTTCCAGTTATTTCTGTAGGCACAGATATGCACAGCCACTTCATTTGGCTTTCTTCTCGTCAAACCAACAGAAGATTATGAAACAGCCACATGTGCTGGAAAAAGTCATGTCTGTTTTTATGATCTGAAAAGAGAAGCTTCAGTGTGTTCCCATGAACGGCAAAACAATTTTTTCAAAAGCTTTGCACAACCCTCTTGCATATTCATTTGTCTTTTTTTCCCCAAAGGAGAATAATATTTCAAGGTTGGATGGTAAAACTGGCTTGTTTTATCTAGTTAATTCCAAGATTTTTCATTATCCGTTCATACAATCTATAGTCCATAGGAGTCTTCGCAACTTAATTAAATCCTAAAAAGATATGTTACAAGTAAATTCAGCTGTCGTTTTTGGTTGGTTGGTTGGTTTTAGATTGTGTTTTAGAACATGGACAGATATGGAGGTTGTAGAATGAGAAAGAAATGTAATAAGGAAAAATAACATCAATGCCATTGAAAACCATACAAAAACCCACTATTTAGTACTTGAACAGTACTAAAGAAAATTGGAGAGCGCTAAAGATGAACCACAATATTAATTTTTTTAATCAAACAGGATGATATATTAATTTTTAAATCATTAATAGCTTTTAAAGTTCTTTCAGTTGGATAATGGATAATTTTTATCCATTTTAGAATTGGCCTATAGTAATCAATTTGTTCTTGAAAGTATAAAGTTGCCTGCTTTACTTTCCTCTGGGGATACATTGCATTGCTGAATTGTTTTTCCTAGCTTTATTTTGCACAATGAAACTAATTCTAGTTCTACTTAGTTTACTATTCAATTTCTGTTCATGTTCTACTAAATTATTGTATATTGGCATAAATACATGCATATTTGAATTTCTTCATCTGTGATAAATTTCCTGTTAGATACTACCTACCATCTGGCAGCAGTCTGTTAATGGTCCTTATAAAAGCACAGTTAATTACCATTGTCATCATCATTTTATGCGTACGCACATACACAAATACAGTTCTACAGTTCTGATTTTGCTCTGTACCGTCTTCACAGATTTAGAATTTCTTCCTCTTAAATCTGAAATCTTCATCCATATTATCCATTGTTAACATTTTGTGGCAGCACATTTAGCCTCCTCATCTTAAACAGAAGGAATACAGATGCATAGAAGTTATATGCAAAAATGTCATGTAATGGCTGAAATATCATTACGGCAAAATGTTTGTCTCTTTCCACATAACCTACAAAAATGTGCATTATGGTGTTTTCCTGTAAGTTACAAATCTTATTAAAATCTAAATACAGGTTTGTCTTTACATATATGCCATTATTGTATTTATGCCCACTGCCCTTGTCAGCCATTGATAGCTTTACTATGAGTAACAGTTTGAGTCAGGAAAATATTGTGATTGTTGCACTATGCTATAAGTTCTTGTTTACTTGCTGGAGAAACAATATAATTTTTAGCAGCTGTTTTAAATCTTGTAACTTCATTGCTTTTGTGAAAATCACCATCTCTGTGGAAGCAACAGAATGCCATGTACAATTTTGCTTTTTTGGAGGGAGAGACATATGTAAGAAATCAATCTTCTTTTCCATTGATAGGGCCTGTTATTTACTTGAAAATAAAATAGTAAAAATAATAAATAGTAAAAATAGGTCAGCAGCTTTTAATTGTGTTCAGTCTCTGTTCACATTTACCCCCTAAGAGAAAACCTAGTTCCAAATTTCTATTATGCTGATCTTGGCCATACAAAACTGAATAGGTGACCCCAACAATAGCAACTGCAGTAAGTGCACTTGAGGGGAAATCTCTTCCCTGCTTTCAAACAAACCAGAAAGAGTGAGCTGGTCTACATCTATGCTTTTTAATATATATAATATTGGGCTCAAAAGAGGTAAATGAAGAAAAAAAAAGCTTTTATTATACAGTTATAAAGGGACAAATCATGCATCTTCAGCAGCAAGAGAACTCCAGTTCTGTCTCTAAAATGAACATACAGCATCAAACATTGTTTTATACCTCAGGCTATATCAAATGCAACATTTGCCTTACTTCCGTCTAGTGCATTAAAGTGTGAATAGTTGTAGGACAATTTATTAAAGTAGCTTAGCTTCTGAGAAACACAGTCTGGAAGATGCTTTTGGAAGAGGAATTTCTTGTTCTTCTCCTTTGTCACCACTATAAACAGCTTTTGTTATAGAAAGCCTCATGAAGAAGTCTCTTTGGAGAACCATGAGGAGGCACCAAGATGGATGAGACAGAGTCTACTTTTGCAGGAATG